TGGGCTCCACACCCCATTTGCTGTGCAGAGATACAAAGTAAAAGAAACCAGCAGGCCCGGTGAGGAAGAGAGCAGGAAAAGGCTTGGCACAGATGGCCCACTGGAGCGCCGAGCCTGGCCCTCAGGAAGGGAAGAGACCCTTCTGGGGGGAGGCCTGGGGACAGGTGACTGTGCTGCTCTCTGAGTTCAGATCAGCCTACTCCTCATTTTTCTGTCCCAGCTCTGGGAGGCTTGGTTTCCTTCAAATGCCACTCTGGGAGAAGGTGGTGGCCAGCAGGGTCCCCAGGATGGCCAGGGTACAGGGCCACAGTAACTTCCCTCCTCCCCCCACATCTTGGACAGCCAGGACCCTGGGCAGTGCCTCTCTGATCTGGAGTCAGGCCTCTGGGCCACAAATAGCAGCCCAGGTGATCTACAGTTCATTTAAACTCCTGGCTGGAAAGTAGGAATCAGGCTTAGAGGGACAACTCTTATTTTCATTTTTCATCGTTTCTACGCTCAGTGAATTCCTCCCTCCCCTGGCTCTGACAGACCTGTGCGCCTGGCAGCTTTCCTGTGGCAGACTATGCTCTCACAGACGCCTGACAAAGCTTTTAGTGCGCCCCCATCCTCCCCACTTCAGGGGACTGAGCGGCCTCCACGCACAGCTAGAGAGTCTGCATGCTTTATTCAGGCCCTGGCAGCGAAGGAATAAAAACGGGCTCCCCACCCAGCCACCCAGCCAGCCCTCCTGACTGGAATTGCTTTAAAAAATTAACTTGCAGATATGGAGATATGTGTACATGTATAGCTGATCACTTTGTTATAAAGCAGAAACTAACACACCATTGTAAAGCAATTATACTCCAATAAAGATGTTAAAAAATTAAAAAAAAATAATTTACAATGATTTACTCCCTTTTGTTCTATGGGGATCACCAGCATTTTAAAGATGTATTTAGGGGCTTCCCTGGTGGCGCAGTGGTTGAGAGTCCGCCTGCTGATGCAGGGGACGCGGGTTTGTGCCCCAGTCCGGGAACATCCCACATGCTGCGGAGCGGCTGGGCCCGTGAGCCATGGCCGCTGAGCCTGCGTGTCCGGAGCGCGTGCTCCGCAACGGGAGAGGCCACAGCAGTGAGAGGCCCGCGTACCGCAAAAAAAAAACCAAATAAAAAAAAAAGATGTATTTAAATCAGATTCACTGCTCCCAGTTAAACCTTAACTGCCTCCCCCCGACCCAGCAGAAAGAGCACTGGATTTGGAGTCGGGCAGCGACTCAGCAGTTCACGCCAAGTTCTGCTAATGACGAGCTGTGTGACCTTGGGCAAATTACTTAACCTCTCTGCGCCTCCATTGGCTCCTCTGGTAACTGAGGTTAATGATAATCCTTCCCTCACAGGGTGTTGTGAGGATTAAATTAGATAACGTTCAGGGAAGAGGCATGCAATGCCACGCCTGTGTTTTCTGTTCCCCAGTACTGGCTGTCCCTCTAATTAGCCTGGTGACCTTGGGTGGGCCACTCAGCCACTCTCGGCCCTCAATTTCTGCATCTGAAAAGCACAGGGGTTGTTCTAGGAGATGATGCCACTGAGCCCCCCACCTCCAGCCCTGAGCCCCCACTCACCTCCTCCTGCCCTCTGCCAGACACCTTCCCTTGGCCACCCCTTTCCTCTTTATCCAAGCACTCATCTCTAATTGGAGGTGGTCCCCTCCCCAGCTGCCTCTCCTCCTGGCTCCCTGTGAAGTCTGCAGGGTTGGGCCCCAGGGGCCTGCCGTTCTTGGCTGGTTTTCAGGAGCAATTAGCCACAGGCCTTGGAGGTGGCCTCAGTGGGCGTGTGGCCAGGCCACTGGAAGCCAGGACTCTGCTCCGTCTGTGGCCTGCGGGGCTCCCCCAGGCCCGGGGGTCCCTATTGCCAGTGGTGGGGAGGCAGATTCCCAGGCAAAGCCATTTCCATTTCTGTACTTTATGACTCCTCGAAACCCCGAGTCTGAGTGTAAATTAGTTCTACCCTGTGCTTTTGTTGGCAACTGTCTGTTCCTTGGAAGCGAGGGGCTTTGTCAGGAAGAACAAAGCTGTTTGGTGTTTTTCTGATTTGGGGGAAGCGTGCTCCTGTGGGAGGGCTCATCGCTTCTCAGTGTCAGTTCCGAGTCCTTGGTTCTCAGACTTGCTGGTTTTGTTTTGGGTTTTTAACTCCTATGGCTTAAGAGTCACATATGTTTGTGTGTGTGTTGGCTGAGGGATTTTTTTTTTCCCTCCTTTTTGGCTTGCATAGTGTATTCCGTGGAAGCTAATTCCAGGGACTGAACTTTTCAAATCACTGCTTCAACAGCTTTTAAAAATCTGGACGTAGTTACTCCTGTCATCCATGTGTAAAGATTTAGAAAAAATTCCCAACCCGAGGGTGGGCAGCCTCAAGGATGCACAGCTCCTGGCAGCCCGCACTCGCTGGAGACCTGAGGTCAAAGCCGAAATGTCGAGCTCCTCTTGGGACGGGAGGGGGCGGGAGGAGTGTGGTCTGCTCGGTGCCAGACATCTGGATATTTAGAAAACATCTGGGTGGCTGGATTTTTCAGGTTTCTGCCTGACATTTAATATCACAAACATTGAGCCTGCCTCCCGTCGTCCCCCGCCTCCCAAACACACCCAGCCCCTTCCCTCCCCTTCCTGACGGGTAAGAAACATCCATTCTTTCCAATTCCCCAGCGTTTCCCCCCTACCGGAAATCTGATGGGCTTATGACATCATGGCTGGCTGCTGAGCGATGAAGTGGATGCCACAAAGAAATCCGACATTATCAGATGGATTCTGAAATCAGTTTCCCTCTGGCTGTAGTAACAGGCGTGGAGTCAGGAGAATATGAGCTTTGTTTAAAAAACAAAAAATAAAACTAGGACCTGACCTGTATTAAATACAATTTCTTAAAGCAAACAGACCTTTTGGACATCATCCTATTTTAATAGAAAATGCTGGGTTTTATGAAATGAAAGCGGCTAATAAATCAGTCCTGAAGCTGCATGTGAACATTTCATGTCTGTTGAGTTTTGTGTGTCCTTATTCACTAATAAAGGAGGAACTGGGAATGATTTCTCTCCCTTCGTTATTCAAATGGGATAGCTTTTTTTTTTTTTTTTTTTGAGCCAATAAAATTCATTGGGTAAATTGCTGGTTTATGTTTTTCTAGGAATCCATTTTTATGGCGTGACCTTGGACCTGACCCGGTCTGCAAACATTGTATTTCCCTCTGCTGGTTTTTCTGGCTGTGAAACTGTTAAGAGGATGCAGTTAAGCCTGATTTTCAGTCTCCTCTCTGCAGGGCAGGGCCGGGACCTGGTGAGCCAGGTCGATTCTTGGGATGAAAAACCACTTTGAAAGGATAAAGGAGGGGAACAGACAGTGAAGGGGCCTGTGACACGAGCCCCAGGGCAGCCTGGGAGGACGGATCCACTGTCTTCCCCATCCTCCCAAAGGGGAGCGAGGACCTCAGGAATAGCTCCAGGCTGAGGGAGCTCACCCCTGATGCAGGCTCAGGTTAGAGAAAGCTCTGGGTTCCAGGTGTTGTGCCTGCCAGGTCCCTAGTGTGGGCATGTGGAGTCTAAGGGACTGGGATTGGAGTCCTAGCTCCTCCGTGGACAAGCTGTGGGGCCCTTCACCTTGCAGCCTCTGCCCCTGGGAGTGGGCATAATGACCCCAGCTTGCCTGCTGGGAGAAACTTAGTGCTGGGTGCTCCACACGATGCCCGGCCACTTCAAAGGGCTCTGGGGTCTGTCTCAGAGCCGGGAGAGGCTGGGGGAGATTCTGGAGCTGAGTGCACTGCCTCGGTTTGTTCGTGTCCCGGCTCTGCCAGCCACCATCTGCGTGACGACATTGATCTGTGTGACGTTCTCTGTGCCTTGGTTTCCTCATTCGTCAAACCATATTAATAATTGGACAAACCTCATACACGGGGCAGTTGAGAGAACTAATGTAGTTAAGAGCTCACCAAGCGTTAGCTCTTAGTGAGACGTGCCCCTGAGCCCAGCAGGTGGGTTGCTGGGTGGGACTGTTGGGCCTGGGATGGGAGTGGGTGCGTCAAGCTGAGCACAGGTAGAGGATAATCGAGGACTGAATAGAGCACCGCTCCTCTCTCTGCACAGAACATTCCGTGGCTCCCCATTGCCTAAAGGGAATAAAGTTCCCCTCCTTAACTGGGCCCCAGGTATGTCACACTTGGGCCTCATGCACTATTCTCTCCCCTCATTTCTCTCTTGTTCTCCCAGCTGGAGCACACCGCCTTCTCTGGACTCAGTACTAATGGGTAGGTCACATTTTCGAGAACCTGCCATCACTTTATTCTGGGTACTTTACATGGATTAACTCATTTGATCCTCACACCAACCCATGCAGGGGATATGGTTATCATTCCTATTTTAGAAGAAAAGACGAGACTTCAGGGTTTAAGTATCTTGCCTCAGGTACCAGAGCCTGGATTAGAGCCAGGGGTTGGGCTCCTGCACCATCCACTTAACCCCAGCCCCACTGGCTCCATTGGGCCTTCCCCCTCCTGTTTCCCACCTCATCCCTAAAGCCAGAGGCCCTGCCTTCTCAGAATGCCCGCCCCATCTCTGTCTGCCAAGATTCTTATGCCACCTTGGCCAAGAGGCCTTCCCAGACCACCCTCCAGCCATGTTATCCGAGGAATGCTGGCGGGGCCCATTGTGCCCCCCTCAGGATGCGGCTCTCCGTGGTTGGCCCGCGGGGCCCTGGTCCACCTTACCTACAGGTCAGGAGCTGTGCTATGGCCAGCTTTGTGTCCCTCACAAGGCACTCTCTGACGACCTACTATGTGCAAGACGTGGGGACTCATACGGCAGGTGCCCACACCCAGCCTGGTCTTCTCTCCCAAACTCCAGGCCTGTCCAACCGATGCCTTTTGCCTGCCACAGCTCCATTTGGATGGCCAGGGGGCAGCTTCACCTCAGCAGTCACAAACCGAGCTCTTGAAATTCATCTCCACAACCTTCCCCATCTCAGGTAACGGCACCTTCATTTTCCACTCAGTTCCTCCGGCCAAAAAACCTTGGGATCATCTTTGACTCCTGTCTCTCTCTCTCTTTCATAATCTCAAGCTCTCTTTCTCTCCACCCCACCCTTACCCCCCATTTACCATCAGCAAATACTGTTGGTTCTACTTCCAAAATATACCAGCAGTTTGACCCCTTCTCCACCTGAACTGCCCACCTGTATGAGTGCATCAGCCTCCTCATGGTTCTCCTGCTTCCCCCTCGGCCCCCTGGAATCCATTCTCTATGCAGCAGCCAGAGTGACCCTGTTAGAACTTAGGCCAGATCCTGCACTTCTCTGCCCAAAACCCAGCAATGGCTCCCAGTTCATTCAGGGTCAAAGCAGAGTCCTGCCTGGGGCCCCCGCTTGCTCCCTCTCTGCCCTCAGCTCCTGCCACCCCCCATCTTGCCCACTGACCTCCATCATACCATGTGTATTCCCACCTCAGGACCTTTGCACTTGCTCTTCCTTCTCCCCAGTATCTACTTCCTTCTGGTATTTACATCGATCCAATGTCACCTGCTCAGAGAGACTTTCCCTTACCTCCCCGCCCCATCCTCTCCCCACTGGGTTGTTCTTTCCCTGCTCTGTTGCTCCTCAGCAACTATTCCCATGTGACCTTATGTTATACATGTATGTGTCTGTTACTAGAACGTAACCCGCACTAGGGCAGAGCCCTGCCTGTCTTCTCACTGCTGTATCCCTGATGCTCAATAAACGTTTGTTGAATGAAAAGCTAGATGGATGGATTCCATGAAGGGACAGCAAGTACTAAACACCTGGTCTGTATCAGGTTCTGTGCTGGGTGCTGAGGCGACACATGTGAACAGGACCTCCTGTGCCACCCACAGAGCCCTAGTCTGAGGAGGGAGACAGACGCCAAGCCAGAAATCACGAAGCAGGTGGAATGGGGTGGTGTCCGGGAATGAGCTCAGAGGAGGAATTGGTCCAGTCGGTCCGAGGGAGCTTCCTGAAGGAGGGGGCATACTCAGAGCCACCTGGGAGGTGAATAGAAATTGGGCAGGGAGGAGGGTCAAGCAGACAGGTGGGCAGTGTGCTCCAGGGGCTGAGGACCGGCCTGGTGGGCAGGTAACCTCATATTAAAGTCAATAGGGGTCAGGTGGGTGGAGAGAAGGGCAAGTTTTCCAGGTTGGGGTCACCATGTGGGGAAAGGCCCCGAGGTGGGAATGAGTGTGGGCGGCGTGGCTGGCGGAGATGGACTGAGGAGGGTCTTAAGTGCTGCCTGGAGAGGCGTTAGGAGGAGCGGCAGAGCCTGGGCTGGAATCCTGGCTCTTCCCCTCCAATGGATGCATCACTTCTCTTTTCTGCAGCTCAGTTTTCCCATCAGTGGACTCCTGACTATGTGCCTTTTCTGCTGCGTGTCCTGCCTCACAGAGAGGGTGAGACTTAAACCTGGAGGGAGGGATCCAGGGTAGAGAGGAGAATGCCAGGAAGAGCATGGTGAGCAGGGGGAACAGAATATGCAAAGACATGGGGCCTTTCTTCTGGATGTGTTTCTCCAGTCACTCCCTCAGGGAGCAGCGAGGCAGGGAAGACAATGAAAGGGGCAGCCTGGCTGTCCCCAACGGAGGCCAGCCCTGGAGCATGCCTGGTTCTCCACTTGAGGGGCCACCCAACTTTGGCCTCACACTCGGCTGAGCACCACAGCCCTGAGACAGGCCTGCGAAGCTGGAGAAGCCAAGGCTCAGAGCAGAGAGGTGACTGGCAGCCACATTACCACATAGCTGGTAAGTGGCAGACAAGGGACTTGAATCCAGACCTACCTGTCCCCACTCCCTGCTGTCCTTTCGTGAGACTGAGCCACCTGTGGGTGGGTCAGGTCTCGGGGAGCCAGGATCGCACAGGTCCATCGCACAGGTGTGATGAACCTGCTCATGCCAGGCTCTGAGATTGAGTCCCATGCCCCCACCGCAGGGCTGCCGTGATCAAGGCCACTTCCTCCTTTGGGGGAGGTGAGTCAGGCCTCTGGAAACCCGCTAAGCCTCTCCCCTTGGCTGGAACTTCTCTGAAGACTCTGGAAGCTCCTGGAATATTCCAGGTTTATTGACTCCCTGGAGCCTCCCAACCACCCCTCAAACAGGGGCTGTCGTTATCCCCATTTGACAGGTCGGGAGACTGAGGCTCGGAGAGGAGCAGTTACCCAGGGGAGACACACAGGTTAAATGGGGAGGTCCTGCTGGGTTCATTCTCTGAGGCTGCTTTAGGGACAGAGGGCCTAGGCCGTGTACAGCTGAGAGCTGGTGCTGGGGCCTAAAGCGGGAGTTTCACGGGGCTAATTTCAGCCTACACTAAGAACTTTCTTCCAGGTATGCCCAAGATGGACACTTTGCAGGAGTTTCAACAACCTCTGCAAGTGGAGGGAGGGGAGATTAAAGTCGTGTTGGATTGAGCAGTCCAAGTTTCTTTGACCTCTCCAAGCTTCAGTCTCCTTATCTGTGAAATGGGGATATTAATACCTAGCTGTCAGAGGCATTAGGAGTCAAGGAGCCCACAAAAGGTGCCCAGTAAGTGCCACTGTCCCCTCCTGCGGCCCCCAAGCTTCCCCTATAACAGCCAAGCTTAGAGGGTAGAGTGGCAAAGGGGCCACCTCCAACAGCCCTGTGCCTGGGGAGCAGCCCCGCAGGCCCCGCTGCCTCCCTGACATGGGGAGCTGGGGGGGTGGGTCAGGCTAGGGGTTCCAGACAGCTGCTTCCTGGTCTCATGTGTCAGCTGGGCCATGGAGTACCTTGAGTAACGGGGAGGCCCCACAATGACGTCTTTCTTTTTTTTTTCTTTTTCACTGCACCGCGCAGCTTAGTTTCCCGGACAGGGATGGAACCTGGGCCCCCTGCAGTGGAAGCGTGGAGTCCTAACCACTGGACTGCTAGGGAAGTCCCCCCGCACGATGACTTTTTGAAAAGCACAGCTTTGAGGGCAGACACAGGCCTCTTGCCACCACTGACACTGGCCTCCAGGAGGCAGGGCTCACGTTTCATCTTCGTAATAACCTCACTGCTCTAAATTGCAGCCCCACCCAGGCTTAGCCCAGAGCCTCCCTGCCCTCCAGAGCTTCCTGGCTCCCTGGTTAGGAAACGGCTCAATGCCAGGACCCAGAGAGCTGGGGAAATCTCACTCCAATGGGCTCTGTCATGGTGCTCCAGGCAGTTGGTATTTATAGAGCACCTACTCTGTGCTAGAGACTTTCCTTACCTTTGCTCAAATAATTCTTGAGGTGGGCCTACCATCTCATGTCACAGGAGAGAAAGCCAAGGCTCAGGGAGAAGCAGCATCTGGGCTGAACAACATTGGAGCTGGGGTTCTATCCCCAGGGGTGAGCGTCCCCCGCATCCTGCGTCCCCCGGGCAGGGCAGTGGAAGGAGCATTGGCTTTGCAGCCCTGGAGTTTGGTGGGTGGTGGTGGGGACTCTGGGCTTTGCAGGAGGACAGATCCAGGCCCAGTCCTGACTCTGCCCTCGTGTTTTTGCACATTCTGTTCCCTCTGCTCACTATGCTCTTCCTGGCAGACTCCTCTCTACCCTGGGTCTCTCTTGGCTTAAGTCTCACCCTTTCTGTGAAGCAGGGCAGTGTAGCCAGGGATCCACAGGCTTGTTTTCAAATCCTGCCCCCGCCGAGCTTGGAAGGGAGAAGAATAAGGGACACAGCATGCAAACAGCGAACAGCACGGGCAGAGGCAAGAGGTTGTGAGTAGGCCCTTGAGAGCCGCATCAGCCGGGAGGGTGGAGCCAGGCAGAAGGGAGGAGGCCTGGGTTGGGCTGCCCTGTCACCATTCTGGGCCTTTGCCCAGGCTGCCTTCCCTGCCTGGCCTACCCTTCCCCTTCTGCTGTCCAAGCCGTCATGCCTTTAAGTCCCTGTGCAGTGGAGTTCCCTGTCCATCTCTTCCTGAGCCACCCCTCTTCACATCCTCCTTCCCCAGTGTTCCCACGGCCCCAGGTGCCACCTTGATGTGAGCAGTCGGTGTCTCAGGTCACGCAGGTTCGTGTCCTGCCTGTGCGTGGTAGGAAGGTCCTTGACTCAAATCTTGGCTCTGCCCCTCGCCCGTTGGGTGACCAGGGACAAGCTACTTCACTTCTCTGTTTTTTCCTCTGTAGGATGACAGCAGCTGCCCCCAACTCACAGGGTTCTCTAGGGGATTAAATGAGGTTGTGCTTGTAAAGCAGCAAACCACACCGCCTCCGAAAGTCAGCCGGCTGGGACATACACGTTCGTGCACGTCATTATTAGTATTTGTGAGTCTCTTGAGGGTAGGGCCTTGTGTCTGGTGTCCTGCTCACTGCAAGGCAGAAGCAGGGGGCTTGGCGATAGCTTCCAGAACAAATGGGCAGCCTGTCCTCCTGTGCAAATGTGAGATCTAATAAAACTACCAGTAACCTACATAGTTATCGTGTATTGAATGCCTACCTCGCCTTGTTTAATCCTGACTAACCTTCAACGTGGGAATTGTTAGACCCAATTGGCAGATAGTATAATTGAGGCTTAGAGAGCTTAGGCCTGAAATGCAGAGAATAAGCAGCTGAGTCGGGTTTTGCACCTGCGTCGGGCTGTGCGTTGGTTAGGACTCTCTCCTGTTATGCCCTTTGCCGGGTAGTCCAGATGCCCCCTTCTCTCCCTCCTGGGTGCCCTTCCCCATCGCCAGGCCACCCCTTGGAGTCACTGGGGTGAGGGGATGTAGACTTCGGGACCCATGGTGATCTGTCTGTTCATGGGTCCTGTACCCTGTGGCACACGCACACACATGTGCGTGCAGTGCACATACATGCGCACACATACACTTGACCTCTGTGGCCAACAAGCTCCCCTCACCGGTCTCCAGAGCCACGTCTCCGCCACGTCTCTGCAACCGCAACGGCGTGAAGTCTGTGTGAAACGTTTGAGTCGAGCTGTCACTGCTCATCGATTTGTTGGCCTCAGTCCCCAAGCTGATTTCACTGGAGATCCTGTCAGCTCATCGTGCATGGGCCCCACCACCCAGCTCACTGTCCCCAGTGCAGCGGGGGTGGCAAGGGAGGAGCCAGCACCCTCTATCCAGTCGCATCCGGCCCAGCACCAGGGAAGCCCGGGACCTCGCTGGGGGCCCTGGGCAGCTCACATGACCTCTCTGAGCTCCAGTTTCAGTGACCCCATCCACTTTGTCTACCCGGTCAGGCGAGGATTAAAGGGGGAAGAACAGGAGAATGTAAGGTGGTAACAGGGGGTGGTATTCAGGGGAGTCCCAGCTGCTGGGGTCCACCTGGACCCGCTGGGGAAGGTGCTGCATAAACCATAAGTGGTTCTGAACCAAGTGGGGCGTGGGCCAGCCCTGGATCATCTTCCCTTGAACTCAGCTCTGGGAGCCACTGGTACCTGCACCCATCCCAGCAGCCTCTGAGAGGGTGTGGGCAGCCCTCAGGCAGGGGAGGGGCTTTGGGACTCTTCAAAGTGGCCGCATGGTGGGCCAGAGCTGCCAGTGGCCAGGGGATAAAGGCAGTGATGGGGCTGGGAGGACCTGCATGGGCGTTGAGCCTAGGGCAGGCCAGCTCAGGGAGGAGAAAGCCTGGACCCTGGAGAGGTTCACTCATTCCTTCCTTCATTCTGCACGTGTTTGTTGAGCACCTCATTTGTGCCATGCAGACCCCATGCTCAGTGTTGGGTACAGGTCAGTGGACAAGACCCCTGCCCTCATGGAGATCACTTCCTGATGGAGGAACACAGACAAAAAACATAATAAGGAAGTAAAATATATTGTGGTCCAGAGTGATAAGAGCTAAGAAGAAAAATAAAACAGGGAAGGGAAACAAGGGGTGGATGGTTTTTTTTTTTTTCATTTATAAATAAGGTGTCCAAGGAAGGTCTAATTGAGAAAGTGACATTTGAGCAAAGACGGCAAGGAGGTGAGGGGCCAAATCAGATGGCTCTCTGGGGGAAGAGTATTCCAGCCCGAAGGATCAGCCAGGGCAGTGGCCTGGAGCGGGGAGCGGGGAGCAGGGAGCGTGCCTCACACGGTCAAGGAATAGCAAGGAGGCCCGCATGGCTGGAGGGGAGTGAGGGAGGGGGAGGCAGTAGCAGATGAGCTCAGAGAGGAAATGGGGGCCAGATGGTGAGGCCTCCTGGACTCACCATTTAAAAGGATCCCTCTGGCTGCTGAGTGGAGAAGAAACTGGAGGAGGGGCAAGGGCAGCACCAGGGAGACGGATAGGAGGCTGCTGAAAATAATCTAACAGGATTTGCTGATGGATTGGATGTGGGAGAGAGAGAGGGAGAGAGAGACGGGGAGCGCATGAGCAAGCAGAGGTGTCAAGGATGGCTCCAGAGAGTTCTGGTCAAACTGCTGGAAAGGCTGGCTGAGCCCAGAGGCTCAGCAGAGACCCTAAAGGAGGCCAGGGATGCTGTGAAGGGTGGGGGGCGGCTGAGCCCCAAACAAGCAGATGCCATGGCCAAGAGGGATCTCCAGCTTGGCAGCCCCTGGTGGATTAGAAAGCTGGGGCTTTCTGTGCCCATGGGGGCTACACGGATCCCAGCCCAACCCCGGGAAGGGTCACCCTCTCTGTGCTCTGGACTGGGGGCTGGGCTTAAAGTGGTCCATGGCCGATATGAATCCTCTCCACACACCCTTCCTACCCATCTACTCATCCATCCACTTACCCACCCACCCTCTTCCCTGCCCACCCACCACCCTTCCTCCCACCCATCCAGCCCCACCTCAGCACCCCAACTACCCAGGTGCTGTCCCAGACACTGGGCCTGTGTCCATGAACTCAGCAGACAAATCTCTGCTCTCGTGGACTGACATCTCATGTCCAGGCCTGGAGCAACTTCACAGGGCAGAATACGACCAAAGCATAGTCTTACTTCTTTCCAGTTTAAGGTCACTCAACAAGTTTGTGACTACATGTGATCTCATTGTTGAACATTTCTAAGTCATTTCAAGCAAAGTCTCCATCACTAAAAATCTTTGGTCAGGTCATGTCACTGGTTTGGGTTCCAGGAAAGACTGACAGAATTGAGGCCTCCATGCTGCCAAGACTCAGGGAGGCAGGGATGGGGGGGTGGTCCCGAGGAGGTGGTCTTTATACCCGACACAGAGGGAGAGAGAGCATTTGGGGTGGAAGCACGGCATACCCAAAGGCACAGTGTGCATGGGGGTGAGGGGATTCTGCAAAGCCAGGTGGGCTGACCACGGAGGGTCTCATAGGCCCTGATGGATCATCTGACCTTTGTTCTGAGGGCAGTGGGAAGCCATTGAAGGTTTCTGAGCTGGGGGATGGCCCACCCTGTGCTGGCGGCACCACGGAGGACGAATGAGAAAAGGCAAATTGTTTTGAGAAGGTAGACCAGTGAGGAGGCTGTGGCCTTGATCAGTAGGGATGCTGAGACCTGACCCAGGAGGATGAGGGGTCAAGGGGGATGGATATGGCATTGGGGGTGACTGTATAGATCTGGTAAGTGGGGTGGGGGCACCACTTGCTGAGGTCCCACAATTGGCCACTTCGGATAACCTCACACCAGACGTGGTCCTACTGCAGTGCACCTAACTTGGAAATGTCCCTATCCACACCTGGCCCTCTGCACCACCAGTACCTGGCGCCATCCTGGACCCCGTCTCCCCTCCATTGGTGCCATCTCCAAGTCACTTTGATTTTGGCTCCCAGATTCTTCCCCGTGTATCCCTCCTCTGTGCCTGTACAGTCGCAGGCTGGGCCCTGCTCCTCCAGGCTTGGACTAAGGCCATGGCCTCCCCCTGGCCTTATGCCTCCAGCCTTGTACTGCTACTCCATCCCCTGCAGAACAGCCAAAGAGATCTTTCTTGAACCTGAGTCTGGCATGCCACCCTCCTCATTCTCATGGTGCCCCATTGCCCTGAGGAGAGCCCACTCCGCACAGGCCCTCCTCGGCCTGCCTGCTCCCCTCTGCAGCCCATGCTTCCCTACACGTTCAGCCTCAGACTGAACTTCTTGTTCCTGCTTCACTCGTTTGGCTAAGGTTTATTGTGCGCGTACTCCGTGCTGGCACCATGCTTGCATCGAAGGTTGGGAACTGTGTGAGAGTAGAGAGACTGGGTCACGGGGTCTGGGAACAGGTAAGGCCTTCCTAAGGACCAGACATCTGAGCTGAGATCCAGAGGATGAGCAGGAGGTGGTGAGGGGGAGAGTGTTTCGGGAAGAAGGACTAGCTGGAGCAAAAGGCCTGAGGCAGACATCAGTGGGACTCATTGGAGGAAGCAGGGCGCTGTGCACATAGCAAGGCCTCCACTACCTGGTACCCCACCTTTGTCCAAAGTTGGCAGCTTGGGAGCAGCAGGGGCCAAGCCTGGGCAGGTGGCAGGGCCAACTCCTGGGGGCCTGTGGGGTAGACTGAAGTATGGGACATTTTCTCATTTAAAAATTAGCTTCATTGAGATATTTATCATTTTTTTAAAAAAAGCTTTATTGCAATATAACTCACATACCATAAAATTCATCCTTTTAAAGTGTATAATTCGGGCTTCCCTGGTGGCGCAGTGGTTAAGAATATGCCTGCCAATGCAGGAGACACGGGTTCGAGCCCTGGTCCGGGAAGATCCCACATACCGCAGAGCAACTAAGCCCGTGCGCCACAACTACTGAGCCTGTGCCCTAGAGCCTTCGAGCCACAGCTACTGAAGCCCGCGCGCCTAGAGCCCGTGCTCCACAACGAGAGAAGCCACCACAACGAGAAGCCCGCGCACCGCAACGAAGACCCAACGCCGCCAAAAATAAATATATATATATTTTTAAGTGTATAATTCACTAGTTTTTAGCATATTTATAGAGTTGTGCACCCATCACCACTATCTAATTCTAGAACACCTTCATCATCCCCCAAAGAAACTCTGTACCCATTAGTAATCCCTCCTCATTTCTCCCTACTCCCAGGGCTGAGTAACCACTAATCTACTTTCTGTCCCTATGGATTTGCCAATTCTGGACATTTCACATAAATGGAATCAGACAATATGTGACCTTTCTTGTCTGGCCTCTTTCACTTAGCATAATTTTTTTTTTTTTAAGATTCATTCATGTTGTATCATGAATCAGTACATCATTCCTCTTTATGGCCAAATAATATTCCATTGAATGAATAGACCACATTTCCACATTTTATTCATCCATTCGTCAGACGGGTTTTTTCCTTTTGGGACCTATCGTGAATAATGCTGCTACAAACATTCCGTACAAATTGTTGTATGGATGTATGTTTTCATTTCTCTTGAGGGGATACCTATAGGTGGAATTGCTGGGTTATATAGTAACTCTTTGTTTTGTTTTTTTTTTAAACTTTCTGGCTGTGTCGCACGGCATGTGGGATCTTAGTTCGCGGACCAGGGATCGAACCCGTGGCCCCTGCAGTGGAAGTGCAGAGTTTTAACCACTGGACCG